GGATCCCCGGGGGGGCATCGGCTCGATTCGCGATCCAGAAACAAATCGCGCTCTGGTCCGCTCTGGATCGCGAACCGGTCCAAATCTGGATCCTGAGTCGGCCCACGCTGAATCGTGAATCCGCCTTTTCTGAATCGTGAATCGGCCCATGCGGGAGCACGAAGAGTTTCGTCGGACCAGATCGCAATCTGGCCCATGTCTGGACAGCGAATCGACTGAAAGCGTGCCAGAATGGACCGATTCGGGATCCAAGCCGGACTGATTCGGGATCCCAAACGAAACGATTCAGGACTCAAGACGGACGGATTCGCGATCTAGAGCGGACCAGTTCACGATCCAGAAGCACCGAATCACGATCTGAAAGCGCCAGGACAAAAAATCAGCGAAATCAGCGGCGGGCGCGCGGGCCCAAGAAAACAAACAAAGAACGCCCGACAAACGTCCGACGTGGAAGCAGGTCATCGCAGACGCAGCTCCCGCGTTCTCCATCTCCCCTCCTCCGCCCGCGCAGTTGACGGCGCAGAAAAAAACTTGAGAACGGAGAACCCAAACAAAGAAAACGATGGCCATTGCGCGCCCAAACGCCCCATCGCGGCGGCTGTCCCCGCGTTCGTTCCTCGCCTCCGCCCGCGGCATCCCGCGAGGGGGCCCGAGGAGCGGAGACAGCCATCAGCAGACGAAAACACAGCACGTCGTCTCCTGCGTGGCAAGCGCACCACTGCGGCGGCCGTCCCCCGCGCCCGCCCTCGATTCCGCCCGCGCAGTCTCGGGCGGCTGGGGGGAGAAGGAACCTTCAGAAAACAAGCCCTGGCCACCTGCTCGCAAAGGCAGCATGGCTGCGACCGTCTCTGCGCCCCTTCTCGCTCCCGCCCGCGCGCAATCTACGGTGAGTCGAAGGGGCGGAAATAAAAAAACGGCCTCCTGCCCGCAAACGCACCAGTGCAGCGACCGCCCCCGCGCCCGTCTCCGCTTCCGCCCGCGCAGTGCAGTCTACGGTAGTTGGAGCGAGGAACGTTCGAAGCAGCGACCATTGTCTCCTGCCCCGCGAGCTGGAGCAGGGCTTGGGGGGGGCCGCCATAGGGGAACAAAACGTGGCACAAACATAAAACTCTGAGGTCCGCGCGGATTTCTCGGAACGGCGCTCGACCCCCCTCCCTGGCGCGCGGAGCGCGCCAGGGGCGGCACCGGAGGCGCCGCCAGGGGGCCCGAGCGCCGCTCCGAGAAATCCGCGCGGACCTCCGAGTTTTTATGTTCATGGCATCTTGCCGTCGCTCGGACGGCCATTTCCCGTCTTTGTTTCGGCTTCGTGCGTGGCTTTTCGCCAAATGATCAAGGATGCTCCTCGATGGTCGTCGCCGAAGAAAAAAAGGCACACGTCCGAGCGATGCCAAGTCACTCTTCCTCTCCCAGCGCCAGCGCCCTGCCTCCTCCTCCTCCTCCTCCTCCTCCTCCTCCTCCTCCTCCTCCTCCTCCTCCTCCTCCTCCTGCTTCGCGAGCCGCCGGGGCGACCTGCGCCGTCGCGAGAGGGGGCCCTCGGCGGCGAGCTCGGCGCGCCTGCCGGGCCCCGACGCCGCGGCCGGCCGCTCCTGCGCCGCGCCGTCGGGCAGGTCCCTCCCGCATATGGGGCTCGGAGGGCTGCCACGAGATCCCCCGCCTCGCTGACCCCGCCTGCGAGGAGCGAGGTCCCGTCGAGGAGGACGTCGCTCTTCCAGCCCAGCACAATCTCGGCGTCCCTCCCGCCTGGGGCTCTGAGGGCTGCCACGAGATTCCCCCGCCTCGCTGGTGCGGGCAGCAGTTATCTCCACAGCCAGGGCGTCTTGGAATTTTTGGGCCCCCTTCCCCAAAGCCGGAGGCGCACTGGATATGGAGAAACATCTGGCCCCCAAAGGCTCGTTTCTTTTTATCCGTATCCAGTGCACCTCGGCCTTGCGGCACCCCTTCCCCAAAAGTCCAAGACGCTCTGGATATGGGCATCAGTACTGCCCGCAGCTGACCCCGCTTGCGACGAGCGAGGTCCCGTCGAGGAGGACGTCGCTCTTCCAGCCCGGCACAGTCTCAGCATCCGAGGGCACAGCATCGTGGGCCGGCTTCGACCGCAGCGCGATGACCTCCGACTCCAAAAAGAGCTCCTAGAAACGGATGTCCACCAGCGACGTGAGGAAGTTCCTACATGGAGGATCGACGGAGACGGGGCGGACGACGGCGTCGCTCCGACATCACCACTATCCCAGGGGCGTCCAGTGATCAGGACCCGAGCCGAAGGCGAAGGTCTCGCACGACAGCCCCGGGGCAACGTTGCGGCCGACCCCGCCTGCTCCCAAGCCGTGGCCGTTTCGTTCTCTCCAGGCTCGACGAGCTCCCACGAGGAGTCGCCTGGACCAGCACCGCGGTGCGCTGTGCCGACAGAGGATCTGCGAGGCGAGGGCGGCGATGCCGCGGTGTCCATCGAACGGGTGTCCAGGATTCACAGGGCACCGGACAGGAGGAAAGCCGCGCTTGCGCCGTCAAAAAAAAAGCTTGAGCCGAGCGCCAGCAGAGCAAGCGCGCCGAACCCGCGAGGAATGTTCAAGAACGGACCGTCATCATCGTCATCGTCCGATCATCACCCTCATCCTCCTCCGTATCCTCCTCCCTCGTCCTCCACCCCCTCGCCTCCCTCGTCATCCCTCCTTCCCTCCCTCGTCCTCCTCTTCGTTCAAGTCGGATCAGGCTGTGGACACGAAAGCCCCCCCGGAGGCCTCCCACACGAGAAAGAACCCAGAACGCCCCAAACACATCGGCCCTCGATCCTCGAACCTTTTCATCGGCGACGACGTCGACCACGGCGACCTGTCGGACTGTCCTGGGGCGCGCTCCCACCAGAACTTCCAGGCGATTCCAGCCGTGACCCGCCCTCAACAAAAAAAGACCCACCCCGACCCTCTGACCCTGACCCCCACCCCACACCTTGACCCTCGGTCCTCAGTCCTCGTGCTTCGCCCGGCGTCGTCGACGGACGGCGGCGACGACGGCGACACGAACGGCTTCACAGGGCAACCTCGACTCTCGATTCGAGCAGGAACCGACCAGCCCCGCACTTCTATAGGCCTACCACAAAGTTTCCCTACAACCCATTAATGTTCTAAGAACACAAACAATGGTCTTAGAACATGCGGAAGCCCGATGTGTTAAAACATAAACGCCCCAGCCAGAAATGTTTTGACATTTCGCGGAAACCACAAAAGGTTCTCAGAACATTGTTTGGTACGTAGGCCTATAGGCGAGCCAGGACGCTTCGCAACTGCTTCATCGATCTTCGATGCCCGAGCCTCGCCCCCGCGACAGACGGCGGAGACCCGCGGGCGACCGAAGGCGCCTCCCTGGGCGTCCGCGGCGGGGCGGGGCGGCGCCCGCCCACCCTCGCCGAGGCGCACGCCCGGCCCGCCTGCGCGCGCGCGTGCGCTCGGCAGGACTGGGGGAGGCCAAGAGGTACCCATGCCGGCTCCTCCCCCTCTTTCGCATCCTCCTCCCCCTCTCCCCTCCTCCTCCTCCTCCTCCTCCCCCTCCACCTCCTCCTCCCACTCCTCCTCACCCCTCCTCTCCCGCCTCGTCCTCCTCCAACCCGCTTCCTCCCTCCCCCTCCTCCCCCTCCTCGTCCCCCTCCCCCTCGTCTCCCCTCCTCCCTCCTCCTCCTCCTCCTCCTCCTCCTCCTCCCGGTCCTCCTCCTCCTCCTCGTTCTTCTCCTCCTCCCCCTCCCACGTCCTTCTCCTCCTCCTCCTCCTCTACCTCCTCCTCCCTCCACCTCCCTCCTCCTCCTCCCCTCCTCCTCTCTCCTCCCTCCTCCTCCTCCTCCTACCTCCTCCTCCTCCTCCGAAGGGGGGGGGGGGGGGGGGGGCGGGGGGGGGGGGGGGGGGGGGGGGGGCGGAGGTGGGGGGGGGCTCCTCCGCCTCCGCCTCCTCCTTCCTCTCCGCCCCCTCACCCTCCGCGTCCTCCTTTCCTCACGCGGGCAGGGGCCTGAACGCCCCCCCCCGGACCTCGACCCCGGGGTTGCGCTCTGGGCCAAGACCCGAAGCGTATCGGTGGGAACTGCGCCCACGCCGACGCCGACGCCGACGGCAACGCGCGGGGAATGCGCGGCGAAGGGGCCCCGCGCGCACCTCGCGTGCCGCCTGCCGTCCGACGGGCTCTCCTCACTCCTCCTCCTCCTCCTCCTCCTCCTCCTCCTCCTAACCTCTCCTCCTCTCGCCCTCATCCTCCTCCTCCTACTCCTCCTCCTCCTCCTCCTCCTACTCCTCCTCCTCCTCCTCCTCCGCCTCCTCCTCCTCCTCCTTCCCATACCTCCTCCTCTTCTCCTCTTCCCCTCCCCTCCTCTTCTCTTATCCTCCACGGTCCTCCTCCTCCTCCTCCTTCCTCCTCCTCCCCTCCTCCGCCTCTTCTTCCTCCTCCTCCTCCTCCTCCTCCTCCTCCCATACTCCTGCCTGTCCTCCCCTCCTCCTGCTACCATGCTACGTACGTCCGCTGCTTCACCCGATCATCCCGTGTCGAATTGCTGCCAACGCACCTCTGACGTGCACGGCTTATGTCTGTCTATATGTCTGTCTCCCCTTCGCCCCTGCGCGCGCCCGAACAAAAAGGGGCAAGGCTGTACCACGAGAGGGCATGGCCGCCGAAAGCTCACAGACGCAGCCAACAACACAAGAGCTACCATGTATCGCAGGTTTGAGATCGTAAGCTCTGCATTCGGAGGAGAAAAGGGAGGAAAGCATGGTGGTTATATCGTCGTGTTGGCGCGTTTGGGTGCGATTTCTGCGCCTCATGGTACGCCCTCGCGGCCACAGCTGGAGACAGGAGACATGCCTTTCCCTCCGCCATCCCTTTCCCCTGGGGAGCCGAGAACCAGCGGTGCGGCGGCCAGGCAATAGTATGCCACAGGACAGGACGGGAGGAGGAGGAGGAGGAGGAGGAGGAGGAGGAGGAGGAAGGGGGAGGAAGCCCAGAGCTTGGTGCGTATCGACTCCCCGTCAGGTCAGGCCAGGCTTGCCAAGACCTGGCCCGGGATGGGCACGTGGAGGCCAGGCGGTGGTGGCGTCCGTCGCCGTGGCCCCGGCACGCCGCGGCGCGGCAGAACGCCAGGCGCTGCCTGGCAGGGCTCCTGGATGCCTCCCCCTCAAACCCTACGACGAGCGGCGGCAGCTGCGCCGTCGGCGGCACCCTGGAAGGGGAGGTCCGGTTTGGGTCACCGGAGGGCCGCGCTGCGCTGGACCCCATCAGAAGGCCATGACAGCGGCTACAAGGAGGGGCAACGATAGGGGGGGAACTGGCACGGGGGGATGCATCGACCTGGGATCGGCGATACACCGCCGATGGATCGGCGACAGGCCTCCGATCGTGAGTCCGCACCTTCCTGGGCAGGTTGGAGCTATGATAGCTCCAACCTGCCCAGGCGCCGATAGGCGCCTGATAGTATCAGGCGCCTATCGGCGATCAATGGGCGATTGGGGGTCGATAAATCCCCCCCTATGCCTATCCCCCCTACCGTTGCCCCTGATACAGTTCCAATTGCCAGTCAGCGCCATCCAAGGATGGGGAGGTTTAGCTTGGGTCACCGTAGGGCCGCGCTCCGCTGGACCACCCAACAAGCTCACCAGCGTGGCGGCAATTGTACAGACGGCAACGCGAGGTCCTGTCTCGATCTAGGTATGACCCCACTCCGCTGACCCCCGAGGGGCTCGCGAAACAGCCGACAACTGCGCATCTGGCAACTGGCAACACCCAAGGAGCCGAGGTTCCGTCTCATTCTGGGTAAGGCCGCGCTCCGCTGGACCCCTCTGAAGGGCACGATCGTGGCGACAATTGCAAATGTGGCAACACCAAGAGGCGAGGACCCGTTTCGAACTGGATACGGTCGCACCCCGCTGGGCCACCCAGAAGCTCACGAAATTGGCGACAGTCGCGCAATTGACAGAGACTCTCAGCATCCAGGAAGGATGCACGAGGAGGGAGCGGGAGGAGGAGGCGGAGGAAAGAGGAGTTAGCAGCAGCTCTACCAGTCAAAACGAAGACCCAACGGAGGTCAGAGAAGGGCTGCGGAAACAACGAAGACAAGGGCGAGAGGTAGGGGAGATGGGGTAGAGGGGGATGGGGAGGGGGAGGGGGAGGACGAGGGTGAGGGTGAGAGGGGGAGGACGAGGGGGAGGGGGAGCGGGAGGACGAGGGGCACGAGGAGGGGGTAGCAAGAAAAGGAGGGGCAAGGGGGAGCAGGCGGAGGAGGAGGGGGAGGACGAGCAGCAGCATCGGGGAGAAGAAGCAAAAGACGGACGCGCGAGGAAGAAGCACGGCCCGATCCGGGGCGGGCCGCCGTGCTGGCCCGCCGGGCCGGCGGCGAAGGTCGCGCCGGGGCGCGTCATGGCGATGCCTCAGCCAGGCGGGGGGGGGGGCCCGCGCGCGCCAGCTCTCAGCTTTCCCCTCCTCCTCTCCTCGCGTTCCTCGCCCCTCCTGCTCCTGCTGCTCCTCCTGCTCCTGCTGCTCCTCCTCCTCCTGCTCCTCCTCCTCCTCCTGCTCCTCATCCTCCTCCTCATCCTCCTCCTCCTTTATACGTTAGACTAGCATTAGGTGTGAAGCCTGTCCTCCTCCTCCTCCTCCTCCTCCTCCTCCTCCTCCTCCTCCTCCCCCTCCTTGTCCTACTTCTCCTCCTTCTCCTAGACCGGGGCAACGTTATCCACTCCCCCTCCCTCAACATTGGTACGGGAATTGTGGCGGGGCAGAAACGAAAAAGGGGTGCGATACGAAAGACAAACCCGCGAAAGCCTAGACAACGTGCATGGTTTGGACGTGTATACGCGCACCACGCTGGCGCCTTGCGTGCGCATGCCTGGGAAGAAAAACAGCCTGATGCACTATATTCGTTCGCACCGCCTCACACGCACTATCGCGACGCCAATACAATACACAGATGTTCTGAGGCCTGTCGGTCGAGCCTGGCACCTACACAGCGCATTGGCAAATCAAATGTCAGAAGCCGAACAACTGTAAAACCCCCTTGGGAGAGCATCGGGATCCATTTCAAATCCGAACTGGCATCTCCCAGTTGCGATAGCGCGCGGCGTGAGCAAGAAACGAATCACGACTGTGAAGCAAACCGCAGAGCGTATCACGACTGTGACGCAGACAACCAAGCGCCCGACTGTGAAGAAAAACGTCGTATAGAGCAGGAAGAAGTGGAGGGAAGGATGATCATTGAGCGAAGTGTTCCACGCAAGGGGCGATACATTTTCTCACTACTGACGCAAGAAACGGCTTAAATTCGTTGCTGACGCCTCGCAGCGGGTGAGACTCTAAGGTGTCAGGAACAATCAGGTCGGAGGAAACACGCCCGCTGGAAATTAGATCCACGGAGCTCCATCCCCTGTACAAAGAGGTCCTGTCGGAGCTGTAGAACCTTCGCCACCTTAGTCTCATTACACCCAACCCCCCAGGCAACACAATAGAACTCCAGCAAGCCGTGACGGGACCGAGGGAACAACCTGCATAATCTCATAGCCCTCTGGGCACCTTTCGGCAACCCGCGGGCTGACATGACAAGAGCGGAGGAGGAGGAAGATGAGGAAGGGCAGCAGGGGAAGGACAAGAGGAAAAAGGAGGAACACGAGGAAGTCCACGTCCAGCAGTCCCAACCGAAGCCGAGGGAATGGGAGGGGGCCGAAATGGCGGGCGGCGCCCCGAGGACCCCCGAGGCCCCAGAGGGGAGGATCAGCCCTGAGGCCCAGCCCCGCACCAGTGGTGCAGCCCAGACCGCTCTCAGGGTCCCGCCCCACGACTGGCGGGGGGGGGGCGGAGGGCGTCGACCTGGAGCGGAGAGCACCGCGGAGGGCGTGATGCTCCGGGGGGCGACGCCGAGCGGAGGCTTCCGTCGGCCGCGGGCAGCCACCGCGCACGGCACAGCGGCTCCCCCGGGCCAACCCCGCCCGCCCCCCGAACCTCGGGCACGGGCGTCCCGCACGGGGGGGGGGGGGGCCATCCACGCACCCGGGCTCCCGGGCTCCCCGTCGGGCCGGCCCGTCAGCCAACCACACACGCGCGCCGAGCCGCACGGCACGAAGAAGGCCGGCGGGCAGGCGCAAGCCTGGAACAAAAGAAACACGGTGGGGGTGTGCGCTCCACGACAAAGCCTATGGAGGGAGATGGGGTCCCGCTCTTGAGCTCGGCCCCCTTGCCCAACCTCTTGGCATTGTACGTAACGTTGGCCAGCACGTTGGGATTATCAGGCGGGACTGGGCACGGGTCCTCGAGCTTATTTACAGATTTCCCGATACGCAGACTGTAGCACCCACGAAGTTCACAGATGCCCGCGGGACCCAAACAGATGACTCGGAGGCCATCTCCTATAACGGGTGGTCCAGGGCACCTAGACGCAAAAAGGGTTCTAAACCTAACTAATGTGTGAGCTTCGTGCAGGCAGGCAACTCACGCATCTGATCAAGGTGTCGTGTACCTGCTCAAAGTCATATTCCGTCAACGACAACCTCGGGATCCATGGGGCACAATCGGATAGAGTGGAAGAGGGCGGATTTCGTGGCGGATGGCGCCTCTCCGCTGTTTGGACGATTGACGTATGTACATAAACCTATACACATCATACTACCTCGTGTGAGTTCCAAACAACAAGTTCGTACATACCATGTGTTGCAAGCTACGCGGCGCAAGCTATGTAGCGCAAGCAAGTTATGTGGTGCAAATTGTGTGGTGCAATCTTTGTGGTGCTAACAAACGGTGTCATTTCATGGATTCTGGGTTCTACTGCTCGCGCAATCACTCCACCCTCCCACCCGCAACTTGTTTGGCAAACCCAATGCTGCCCCGATGATTGTTGCACGTTGGACTTTGTTGGCGCATGTGTGCGGCCGCGCTGGCGCGCAAATGCCCGCGTGCAGAGCGACCAGCTTGTTTGGCAGAACTGATGCGGCCGCGATGGCGCTCACCAGTGGGAGCTCCCAGCGCGTTTCTAACTAAGGCCGCGCTGACGCACGGGCGCATTAATGAGGATCGGTGACCCAGGCGGGCGCGGTATCATGATGACGTTGATCACGGCGGCAACGATGACGATAGTAGCGATGGTGCTGGCGAGGCCGGGGAAGTGTGAAAGGGTGTGGGCGGTGTGCCGATATTGGCGCAGGCCCACCATGCGAACGCTGCCACTGGAACTTTCGGTGCAGTTCCCTATGGGGCCACGAAACGTGTGAGGGATGCGCCGGTTCAGGGCCGCCATGTGAAACCTGCCGCTGGGGCGTTGGGTGGAGCTCCATGTGGCGCCACGAAACGTGTGAGGGATGTGCCGACATTGGCGCGGGCCCGCCATGCGAATGCTGCCACTGGGGCCTTCGGTGGAACTCCTTTTGGGGCCACGAAACGTGTAACGGGTGTGCCCACGTGGGCGCGGGACCGCCATGCAAACGCTGCCACTGGGACCTTCGGTGGAGTTGGCTCCCTGCGGGGCCACGACACGGGTGAGGGGTGTGTTGGCGCGGGGCCGCCATGCAAAACCCTACCGCTGGGGCTTTCGGTGTGATTCCCTGTGGAGCCACGAAAGGAGTGAGGGTATGCCCACATGGAAAAATTGTTTCCCTTGTAAACTGATCCATTCCCCGGTGAACTGGTCCACTCTCGGGTTATAGGTCATGAGGATCGTGAACCTTTCGCAGCTTTACAACTCTCTCTCAAGCGAGCCTTAACAGCTTTTACGGCGCTCCTAAGCAGCTGTCACAGCGCTCTTTGACAATTTTTCAGGCGATCCTTGGCAGCTTTTAAGGCGCGCTTTAGCAGCCTGTACGGCGTTCCTTGGCAGTTGTCTAAGGCGCTCCGTAGCAGCTTTCGAGGCGCTCCTTGGCAGCCTGTAAGGCGCTCCTTGGCTGTATTAAAAGCGCTATTTAGCAGTTTGCAAGGCGCTCCTTAGCAGCTGGCTAAAACAAGCGCTCCCTAGTAGCCTGTAAGGCGCTCCTTGGCAGTTGTTTCAAAAACTATAAACAACAAAAAACAGCACACCCACACCCACACACACACACACACACAAACAAAAAAAAAAAAAAAAACGCTCCTGCGCAGCTTGGTATGGCGCCCACTGGCTGCTTCTAAGACGTTCCTTGGCAGCTTGTAAGGCGCTCCTTAGCATCTTGCTATGGCGCTCCTTGGCTGCTTGATAGACGCTCCTTGGCAGCTTTTGAGGCGCTCCTAAGCAGTTGTTAAGACGCTCCTCCGCAATTCACAAGGCGCTCCTGAGCAGCTCTTAAGGCGCTCCTTGGCAGTTTTGAATGCGCTTCTTGGCAAAAGACCCCATAGCAGCTTTAACGGTGCTCATTGCCAGCTTTGGAAGCGTTCCCTGGCAGCTTTGGCGGCGCTCCTGGGCAGCTTTTGAAGGCGCTCCTCAGCAGCTCTTAACACGCTCCTTAGCAGCTGTTACGGCGCTCCTTGCCAGCTTTTACGGCCGCCGCCCTGTCGTCCGAACTGTGAGCCTCACAGGTGGTGGGGCATCCTCCTCCCTGTTCGCTTTTCCCCCCTCCCGTTCGCTGTCACTCCCTCACGCGCCGCTATGGCGCTGCTCGGCTGCTCGCAGCCGCTGCCCCAGGCTGCCCGCAACCGCCACCCGCGCTGGCTCTCCGGGCTCAGTCTTGCCGCCCGTCGACGGGCGCTCCAGTTTCGGATGGTGCCACGCCCGTTCCCAAACTGGGGAACGGGCGACCGCCAGGCTTTCACCCACACACCTGGGGAGTTCCCTCCCCCGCACTGCGCCTTGCCGCAGCCGGCCCCCTCGTGCAGCAGCCGCCGCGGGCCCGCTGGCGGGGCTGGCCGCGCCACGCGCTCGGGGCGTGACCCGTCCCCATGAACGACTCGCTACCTCCGCCTCCACTTTCGGCCGCGTCCTTGCCCCTCCCTCTCCTGCATGATGGCACACTTCGCTCTCACGGCACCCCCGTTTAGGCCTTTCCGCTAGCGCAGACGATCCCTGCCTCGCCTGCGGCGTAAAAAGTTCTGAGCCTGTTTTCGCTTTTCCGACCTCAAAGTTTCGGGCTCCGTATTTTGGATATGGCTTCGGTTCTCTGGTTCGGACTATGGGATTCCTTTTTACGGTTTATACTCCCAATTTGGGGGGTCGCGTTTCGGGCCGAATTCGATTATCTGGCTTCGTGTTTCCAATGTTTGGGTTCCGCGTTTCGGGCGGCTTTCGGGTTTCGATCATCTGGCTTCGGATTTTCGGTTTGGGGTTCCGCGTTCCGGGCCGGCTTTCGGGTATCGGTTTTCTGTCTTCGGATTTCCGGTGTTTTGTGTTTCGCGTATCGAACCGGCTTTCAGGCTTCAATGGTCTGGGATGTTCTGGTTTCGGGTTTAGGTTTTCGGGTTCCGCGTTCCGATTTTCGGGTCTCGGGCCTGATCGAGCGCCTGATACAACGCTGAATGGAGCGCCTAGCACAACGCCGAATGCAGCGCTTCGTAGAGCGCCCCTAGAACAGAGCCTTAGAGATCGCCTAATAAAGCGGCACATAGAGCAGCTCATAGAGTCATAGAGCGCCAAATAGAGCAGCTCATAGGGCGCCTCATGGAGCGGCTCATACGTCGGCTCATAGAGCGGCTCAGAGAACGACTCACAGACTGGCTCAAAGAGCGGCTCATACGACGGCCCATACAGCGGCTCACAGAGCGGCTCACAGAGCGGCTCATAGAACTGCTCATAGAGAGGCTCATAGAGCGGCTCGTTGAGCGGCTCACAGAGCGGCTCATAGAGCACCTAGGGGTAGATCACTGGGAATCGATTCCCAGTGATTCCGAACGTGATCCCAGGATCAACTTTCGAAATGCTGGGAGTCGATTCCCAGTGATCTAGAATAGTGACCCCAGTGGGATCACGTCTGAGATTCCCTAAAAATCGATTCCCAGGGATCATAAGGTAGTTACCCCAGGGATTTTCCATAACTGGCGGCATGGCGACCACACTCCCCGATGTTGTGGTGTGTTTTAACGGACCAAGCCCTCGAGGTTGCATCCCCGATTTCCACTCCTGTTCTGAACAGCCAGGGGGGGAGCTCGGGCCTTGGGGCTACAAATCGCCTGCGGCCTGTTGGCGCCGACCTCCGACACGTGGGCCCCGAGCCTTCGGGGATCTTCTGACCCGGGTCAATCCCGACCCGGGTCAGTCAGGCCTTGCAGAATTCCTGCGAGACCCTGCACACAAACCCGGGCCAGCGCGAAGGATCCTGCCAGGCCCTGCAGGGCCCTGCCTCCAGGCCCGGGTCGACGCGGCCCTGGCCCTGCAGGATCCTGCAAGATCGGGCGCCCTGGCCGACCCCCGTGTGCATCGATCCCCGTCTCGAGGCTCAGGAGGAGGAGGAGGGGGAGGAGGAGGAGGAGGAGGAGGGGGAGGAGGAGGAGGCCCACGGGGAATGTGCGGCCGCCGGGCCCCCGAGGGCGGGGCACAGCGCGGCCGCGGCCGCCGCGATGCCGGCCTGCGGCGCGGGCGCGGGCGCGCGGCACCGGGCAGGCCGGGGGGGGGGGGCTTCGGGGACGGGCCGTCCCAGGACGACGAGGACGACGGGGGCGACGAGGACGACGGGGACGACGAGGACGGCGAGGAGGACGAGCACGACGAGGAGAAATGGAGGACAACAGCAGGACAAGGAGGGCGAGGAGGGCGAGAGAACGAGCAGAACGAGGAGGGGGGCCTCTCTGGCCGCCTCAGGGACCTCCAGGGGCGGTCCCGAGGCCCTTTCGGGGGCCTCTAGGCCGTCTTGGGGCGATCTTGGTGGCATCTTGGGCCGTCCTGGGCTCCCTTCACGAAGCCCGACCAGGCGCGAGAAAATCCTGAGCAACAAATTGCGGAGGCCGCCTTGCTTGCGGAGGCCGCCTTGATGGGGTCGGAGCAAATGGGGTCGACGGATTGCACCGCATCGGCGATACATCTGCGATATCGGGATCAAGAACCTTTGGCTCCAAGTCGCACCGCATCGCCGATGCATCAGCGATGCGTTGCGATCCTTCGACCCTATCTACTCCGACCTCATCTGGGCGGCCTGCACTGCGGCGGCGCGCAATGGGGAGGGGCGCGAGAGGGCATGGCCTTCGAAGAAGGCAAGGGGATGTTCTTAGAAGGTTGGGTCCTTCTCAGATAGGCCTGGGAGCTTCGAAGAAGGCCTCTTGGAAGCAAGGAGGGCTTTTGAGAACGCCCCTGCCTTCTGAGAAGCACCCAGCCTTCTTGGAAGGGCGCCCCCCTCGCGCCAACACCTGCGCACGCTGCCGAAGGCTGGCGAGGACCAGGATGGCCCGGGCCCCAGGTGCAGACCTCCGAGGGGATCGTTGTGGTCCTGGGTTTTCTCTCCGGCTTCGGCCTGCAAAGGCAATTTTCGAGCCCCAGGCGCTATGGAAAAACGCAATTGGGGTGTGGTACGGGTCGGATGTCTTGGGATGGAGATGAGACCCCGCAATCCAGTCAAAATCAGTCTACAGACCTATCCCGGGATCCATCATGGCCAATTCGCCAGTCCAGATCAATGTGCGACGGTCTCGGGGGTCGAAACAGCCTCCAAGGACCGAGCTGGAGGAATAACCTCCAACAACACCGCATCGACGTTCCCAAAAGAATGACACCTTGGGCGCGTTCTGACCAGAATGTCGAGGGGGTCCGGCGGTGGCGAACAGAAGGCTCCCAGAGGTCCAATAACAGGCTCCTAACACTCCGAACCTGGATGTTCCTCCTCCTGCCTCTCCCTCCTCCCCTCCTCCTCCTACGAGTTCACGGCCAAATCCCCTAAGGTGGCCTATAATTCGCGCTTACGCACCGAGCCGCGCAAAAGCGCGCTCAAGCAGCCAGCGCCGCTACGCAGGGAGCCTGCGGAGGCACAAAGCAGCCCGCAGGAGTCCCTCGGCCCGCCGTCACCTCCAGCCTCTCCTCCCCCTAGGCACCATAGGGCTCGCAAGGCCAAGGTGCACCGCGCGGCCCATGCAGCTCAGCGCTCACGCTCGCCTGCCAAAGCGTCTGATGCAGCCTCGGACGAGCAGCGCAGCACAGTTCTCAAGGAGCACGAGAATAGAATTGCCCAGCTCAAAGAGGAGCATAGGCAGGACCAGCTCCGTATCGACAGGATACACAGGGAGCGCCTCAGGCTTCAGCTGCGAGAAGGCGAAAGCCTTTCGCACTGCGGTCAGCGTCTCTCGCCCAGGAGGCCGCGTAAACCTCATGAAGGAGGTGATGCTGCCAGGCGCTAGACCTTTGCCAGGCAGCTAGCCCTCAGCCTAAGCCTTACCTCTCCCTCTTTCCTCTTATCAGCTCCCTTTTCTGCCTCATCCCCATCAGGCCATGAGGCGCGAGCCCAGTATCCTGGGCAACGCCGACGCAGACGAGGACATGCCCGCTGCTGAGGCGTACCCGGGACGCAGCTTAGATCCGCGCAGCATCTCGCCACCAGCCTCGCGTTTGGCTTCCTTATGGAAGCACTTGGCTGAGCGGCTTCTTTTGGTTCACCAGCAAGTCTACCGCTTTCTCAGCGGCGGCGCGAGGCGCCACGCACGCATTCTGTCTCCCACCACGGTGTACCAGCATACTGCGGTACCCCAGTGGCAAGCCACATGGCAGCTCGAGAGCGGGCCGCCCGCATGGCCACACGCGCGCGCTTACGTAGGCCCTGCGCTTCACCTAGACTTGCCCACGGCCGTTAATCGCTCACTCGAGCGCTGGCATGGGCGCTGGCGCGAGGCCAACTCCCCTAACCTACTCCACATTTACCCTCAATGTGCTGCGGGGGACGGCCCCTATGATGCCCGTTTCTCACCCACCATAGGGCTAGTTACTGCTTACGTGCCTGACCAGCTTTTTCTGGACCTACTCCAATCGGGGGCCTGGGAGCACTCCTCCCTCAGCCCTCATCGTCTTTTGCAGGATGCAGCGGCTGACAGCCCCATCCTTATAGACTTCCAGGCCATGATCATGATTCGGCCATTCTGCCTCCCGTTGTCCTACCTCGCTCGAATCCTCCGTCTCCCCGAACCCTAATCCCTCAGGCCATGCCGACCCCAGAGGCGCAGCACCTGCCGCAGTTCGAGCACGGCGACTTCCGCTGCGCCCCCACTGAAACAGTGCCACCACCGCCTACAGTCGTGCAGTGGCTGGTAGTGATAACGACAGGCCACATTTCGCTTTGGTCCCCATTGCCCAGTAATGTAGGGCTCCTAATGGAGCAATTCCATGGGCAGGAGACTAGGCTGCCATCCTCTGCGGAAAGGCCGCGCTTTTTTCACCTCCCTATTCTACAGGAGACGGATGCACGGCCCATCCTATTTGGCACGGGCATACCCTACCGCACCGGCCTATCGCTGCGGGTCAACATGCGTAGCGGTAACATCCTCATCCCTATAGACTCCGCACCAGGCCAAGCATGCATCAGTCGGCCCGTCAGGAGGGTCCTCCTCACACAGATGCAAGCATAAGCCAGCTAGGTTTCACTCATATTTGGCCGTTGGCTTATGGGCTGCTTCTTTTTGTTCCCTCGGCACCCCCCCCTTCTCTCAGCGCGCCCCACGCCGCCATGGTGCCCATGCCTCCAGCGGGCGGTTCCGCAGCGGCCGCGGCGGATGCGGGCGCGGCCGAGGCCAGCAGGGCGTCGCCTAACACGCGGGAGCTCTTCGGCCTCTCAGGAGACACGCATGCTGGTTCGGCGTGGCAGGGCTCCCAATACACGGCCGCCACGCGGGAGTTCAAAAAGTGGTGGCCTTCCACATACCCTGGCGAGTGGAAGATGCCCAACGGCATGCTCTACCCGTTCGTTTGGAAGCTCAAGTCGCTGGACGTCATCGACGGCCAGGTCGTCGAAACCTGGGACTGGGAATGGATCGAGACCCCAGGCCTGGCGACCATCTCCGAGGTGGAGGCCATGCTGCGGGACCGCTACAACCAGCAGCAGGCTGCCGCGCAAGAGGCCCAGGCGCGAGCGGCGGCGACAGCGGCAGGTCTCTCGGCGCTCTCGGCTGCCGCCCGCACTCTCAACCCGTCGCCCTTCGGTGCCTGAGCGAGCCACATAGAGTGCTGCATCAGTCAGCGCCCTGCTAGGTCGTCCTAAGCGACATCGGCGCAACTAGCAGCGCGCCCGCTGGAGCCATGCCGTTCCAAGTCAAGGTCGGTCGAGCCGTCCTGCATAAGCTGAGTAGTAGGCTACGCAAGTCTAGCAGCATCCAGCCGATCCCGACATAGTGCGGCTCAGCAACTTTGAGCAGCCCCGCTAACAGTGAGGCGGCTAAACGCCGCTCGCATATCTCAATTCGCAGACTCGCCACGGCTGAGTCTTCACGCATAGGTGGCGGGCTAGCACACTTCTCGGATCCTGGTTTACCTGCAGCCCACCACCTATACAGCCCAAGCCACCACACGAGCCTAACTCTAACAAGGAGACGCCGCGTCTCCAATTTAAGGTCGGCAGAACCGACATGTAGTCCGCCGCAGTGGGTCCTTCAGGTACACACTCTCACTGCAATTCTTTCGGCGCCAGTCGGCACCATCTCAGGTCAACATGGGATGGGCGCCCATGGTGCAACCGTCAATGCGCCACACAGGTGCGGAGCCAGCCTAATACATACCTCGGCAGCCCATCTAGTCACTCTTTTTTCTATCGGCCCCCCTTGGAGGGCCTGTGCAGGAGTAGTTCCCAGTCATGGGCGCGACTTCTCACTTTGCCGCACGAGTGCGGCCAACGCGTCACATTTTAGAAGCCTCGCTAAACAGCGATCGGCTAAGCTCACACAGCAACTCGCAGACTCGCCACGGCTGAGTCTCCTAGGTGGTGAGCTAGCCTAATACTCTTGGTTCACCTTGGCAGCTCACTACCTAGACAGTCCTAGCCATAAGTGCCTCGTGGGAGGTCCGCGGCACTTTGCCTCGGCTTGTCTCTTTGGCCCCCGTCCAGGTGTAGCAGGGTCCCCTTGGTCCCTGTGCGCCTGTGAGGGGCCACACGGAGGTGGGTCTCTGTTGTCTGGTCTCGGCTAGCGCCCAGGCACACCCACCCCCCCGCCGCGGACGGCCCGTACAGGCCTTTCAGCTGCAGCGTCCGCCCTGCAGCACGGCAGTGCCATTCTGGCCCTCCTTCCTCCCCCCGCCTCATATGGATTCCCCCGCTCTTCCTCCTGTCCAGCTCTCCTTTCCTGGAGGTTTGGACAGCCGCACGGCGGCCTGGCCAATTTGGCCCTCCGTCCAGCTCTTCCCCCTCCTTCAGCCGTCCGAAACTAGGACGGCACACCTAGGCAGGTCTCTCCTTTTCCAGCCTTGCACTGCTCTCTGCCTCGAGGGCTGCCCTGCTATGGGCAACGAAGCAGGGCCCCGCTGATGTCTCTCTTCGCACGGCGCTGCAACTCCTCCTCTCTCGTATATGTTTCCTCTCTTCCCCTCCCGCAGCGCCAATACCTCTCTCCCGACAGTTTTCGGGACGAGAGCGGAAGCAGCTCAGCGTCCATGATCTCGGGCTTCTCGTATGCAGCCTGTGCCAGTCCTGTTGGCCGCTGCGCTCAAGCTACCTGCAACGAGCTTAGTACAGTCAAAAAGTCCTCCTCCTGCCTCCTACGCTCTCCTCTACTCCTTCTCCACCATCCTCCTCCACCCTCCTCCTCCCTCCTCCCGCCTACTCCCCCCCTCCTCCACCTCCTCCTCGACCTCATCCTCCTCCTCCTCCGCCTCCTCCTCCTCCGCCTCCTCCTCCATTCCGATTCCTGAAAAAAAACTCCTCCCTGTCGCACCCCGAGGCCACTCGAAGGGCGGGTCGGGCGTTTCGCATGAGATTTCCTCTCCATGCGTGATCCTGAAGCTACACAGTGGCAACAATGTCACAGATGAAGGGCGGATGGTTTTCAAAATGTGGTTCTCGCTTTAGCGTCGCACACATCTGGTTTGAACAAATGGAATACCTTCACGGATTGAGGGTTGGTCGTTTTTTGTGACTTTCGCATTAACGCTGCGCACATTCGTCTGAAAAAATTGCAAGAGCTTCACGGGTGAAGGGCGGGCGGTGTTCTACATGTGGCTCTCGCATTAGCGCCGCGCACTTTCGTCTTGAAACAATTCATCAGTTTCACGGGTTCAGGGCGGTTAATTTTCAACATCTGGCTCTCGCGCTTTAGCGCCGCGCGCATTCGTGCTAAAAAATTGCAGGAGTTTCGCGGATTCCAATGGTTAACGTACCAGAAACTGCATTTGGGAACGATTCACGATCGTCCGGCCCCATCAATTACGTTGGTTCGCGGTGGCACGATTCAAGATCGCCAAGACGCAACAACTAGTGTTCCGAGAATGGTGTTTTGGCACTCTTCAGGACCTTCAAACGTTTGTCTCCCACCGGGGCATTTCACTCAGTGGAAATGAAACCTTGTAGGAAACTATGAAGAGGGAGCTTGAAGGGTGTATTCCGACATCGTTGATGAGTCTTGGGTGTATACTGGTCCTCCTCCTCCTCTTCCTCCTCCTTCTCCTTCTCCTCCTCCTCCTCCCTCACGCTTCCTCCCTCTACTCCCCCAACCCTAACGACGACGCCGCCGACGCCGACAACGCCGACGCTCGGAGCAGGGCGAGTTGAGACAAGGCCAGCTCTCCCGCCTGGCTCAAATCTGTTCAAAATCCGCCGACCCCTTGTGGGTCTCCAGGCGTGTGAGATTGTTCCCTCCCCCCATAGTCCCCCCCCAGGGACCCCAAACAGGGATTTTGACACACACGCACACACACACACACACACACCGACCCGGGACGGCCCCAGACCGAACTCACCCGGGGCGGTCTGGGCTCCCTGGGCTCGCTCTTGAGCTGCACGACAGCACTTGACGCCTCCCAAGAAGCCGCCAAGACGGTCCACGAGAACCCCAAGTCGCCGAAAGATTGTTCCAAGACGCCCAAGATGAGCTCAAAACAGCCCAAGAGGCCGCCAAGACACCCCATGAAACGTCCAAGAGGCCTCCCAAGAAGCCCCCACGAAACCAATCTCTTGAAATCCCCTTAGGGAAACGTGAATTTTCAGCATATCCAACGTGTTAGCCTTCACGGCGTGAAAACCGTCCACGAGGCCCCCACGAGGCCCAAATGACCACCCAAAGAGGCTCCCAGGATGCCCCAAAGACAAACCAAAAGAACTCCAACGTGGCCCAAGAGGCGCATAGATGGCCCAAGAGAGCTCCAAGACGGCCCCAAAAAGGACCCAAGAGAAGGATCACGAACCGCGAATTCCAGCGCTCTGCCCAACGAAGCTCTCTGGAGGACCCAAGAACCCCCAAGCGGCCCCAAGAGGCCCCCATGACCAAGTAGCCCCCAAGAGGCCCAAAAGAAGCCCCAAAACGGCCCCCAGGACCCTTCGAAACTGCCTCGAAGAGGCCCGCGAGAATCCTCGCCACGAGGAATGCAGTCCTGGAGTCACAGAAAATTATAGAGGGGTCGGCGGATGTGACGTAAGCCTATGGGATTATTCCCTGATTCCTTCTGGGGTTCATCCTGACTCCTTTTCCGAAGTGGATTTAGCCACGGCTACGAGAAGCATCCAGGAGGCTCCAAAAGGCAGGGCCGCCGCTATCTCCCTAAAGATCCGACGCTCCCAAAAAATCGGGGCGGCAGGACGTTGGCCGCTTTCGGCCTCCGGGGGCCCTCGCCAGGCCTCGGGCGTCGAACGACGACTCGGGACGAAAAGCTGGTCATGGGGAAGTGGTCCAGACCTCCAGGGCCCACGCATCGAGCAACTGGGAGCAGCCAGGTGTCGGTCTCGGCTGGCCCTCCTCCGAAACGCCGCCGCCCGACGACGAGCCCTTGGGTGCGCGCGCGCCTGGGCGCGACGGCGCGGCGGCTTGCCGCGCGCCACGGTCCGCGGCGCGGGCGCCATGTCGTAGGGCCCAGCCTGTGGCGGAGCCCTTCCCAGGGGACGCACAGAGACATACGAGAACGATGTACAATGTGCCCTCCTTGGAGATGCGCATCCGGCCCCAGCATGTAGTATACCCGTCTTGTAGTATACATCGTTCCCCGAGCGGCGGCGCCAGAAAGCGCCCGCCACGACGCACGTACTGCAGGATTTCTCCGTGCGCGCGTCGCCCCTTGGACGCGACGCACACATAGCACCAGCATGTCGGGGTGACGCCGACCCTACGGTGAAGGATGAGCGCGTCGGAGGCGAGTCCAGACCGACGGCACGAGGGTGCCTCTGGGCCGAGGAGACGGAGGACTGCGCAGGATGAGAAGGAGGGCAGTAAAGTTCAGTCGGGCCTGTCCCCCTACAGGCCGATTTTGGACGAAAAATCTAAAAACAACCAAAAAAAAAAAATGATCAAACATAGTCCCAGACAATTCTTTAACTATTTTTGAGCATTCCCCCTGTAGAGGGACCCGACCTAACAGTAAAGGCAGGGTTGGCGGACCGGCTCACGTCTCTGGCTTTCCTGGCGCCTCCTGGCGACAGTGACTTGAGGAAAGCGCCTCGCGGCGGAGACGAAACCAGCTCCATGCAGCACGGTTCATAACCTCCACGTTTCCCAATCGCCCCGTTCGTCCGACGAGAGAGGATGGTGGGGACGAGTCCGCAGCCATTCGGCCCAAAGCTTCCTGCTTCAATTGATTACACACTGGACTAGGCCAAGCAGCGTCCCAGACCCAGTCATGAGCTGTGGTTCTTATCCCGCATCAGGGAACCCATTGTACCGAGAATCTCTCAAACGGGACTCGAAGCTGGCGAGTCCCCCAGAGGAGAAGGACCATAGCTCCACCCTTTGTGGCTGGTCTGCAGGGTGACCCCTCATCTGGCGCGCCAGACCCGCATCGCAGCATCCCCGCGTCGGCCCATGTCGGCCCCCCAGCGGATGACACCGCAGCTGCGGTGCCGGCCGACTTCGCCCCCCCCTCCCCTACTTGTTCGCGGCCCGCTCGGGCTGGCCGGTACAGGCCCCCCGAGGCGGCACGATGATCCTCATGTCGCGCAGCACTAAGGAAACTTGCAACGCCGGCGAAAAACTGAACAGGTGCTGAATCCTCATATTGCAGCAAATGATGCACGAACGCTCAAATTCTCAGCTGCACGGAAGGAGCACCGCGTGCAAGACTGCTCCTCCTCCTCCTCCTCCTCCTCCTCCTCCTCCTCCTCCTTCTCCTCCTCGATACCTCAGCCGCGTGATCTCCAACGACCTGCGCAGGGACCTGGAGGAGCTTGCGCGCCGCCCTCGGCCTGGGAACGACGGCGAGCCAACGGGATATCCAGCTGCCTCATCTTCCTCGCAGCCCCGCACTCGGCGTGGCCACGCTGCGGGTCCTCCTCCTCCTCCTCATCCTCGTCCTCTTCGGGGGAGGAGAGAGGTGGTCCTGGAGGAAGTGGGTCCTGGAGGTCTTTCGCACTTGTTCGCATGCTGCGAGGAGTGTCGGGGGCGGCCAAGCGGGGGGATGATGCAAAGGGGGAGTGGACGGAGACGACCAAGGTGCACATCGTGCTGCAATACAGCGCTGAGTAAGGAACGCAGGGACTGTTCTGGCCACGGCGAGCCTCGGCCACAAATCTGTTCCCTGAGCTGGATCTACTGGGTGGCCCCGAAAGCAGAGCCCCTCCTGAACCAAAAGTTGTTTGGTCGGGGATGGACAGAACCCTCTGTAATAAAACGTGGTTTAGTGAAAACGACCTCGGGCTCAAACATCGCGGGCGCAAGCTTGGGAAATAACGGCCGCGGCGCCCTCTCGAGAACTGAAAACAGACAAGTCACTAATCGACGTGTCAGGGTGGGGGTTCTGTCCACCCCCGATTTTTTCCCAAACATCCTGTGGTGTTGGGTCCTCGTTTTGAAGAGACAGCGCCAGGCGTGCCTCCTCCTCCTCCTCCTCCTCCTCCTCCTCCTCCTCCTCTCCTCCCGCTGCCCCCTCCCTCCTCCCCCTCCTTCCCATCCCATCCCATCATCATCATCATCATCATCATCATCATCATCATCATCATCATCATCATCATCATCATCATCATCATCATCATCATCATCATCATCATCATCATCATCATCATCATCATCATCATCATCATCATCATCATCATCATCATCATCATCATCATCATCATCATCATCATCATCATCATCATCATCATCATCGTCATCATCATCATCATCATCATCAGCAGCAGCAGCAGCAGTATCATCATCATCAGCAGCAGCAGCATCATCATCAGCTGCACCATCATCATCATCATCATCATCATCATCACCACCACCACCACCATCATCATCATCATCATCATCATCAGCATCGTCATCGTCATCGTCATCGTCATCATCATCAGCAGCATCATCATCAGCATCAGCATCAACATCATCATCATCATCATCATCATCATCAGAATCATCATCATCATGAATATCAGAATCATCATCATCATCACCGTCATAGTCATCGTCGTAGTCATCGTCATCGTCATCGTCATCATCACCAGCATCATCGTTATCATCATCATCATCATCATCATCATCATCATCATCATCATCATCATCATCATCGTCAGCATCATCATCATCGTCATACTCGTCATCATCATCAGCAGCAGCACCATCGTCAGCATCTCCATCATCATCAGCATAATCATCAGCACCATTAGCATCATCATCATCAGTATCATCATCACCATCCACAAAATTTGGAACTCGCCGTAGCGCCGCGCACAATCGTATTAACATGCTGAGGAACTCTCATGGATGGAAGGCGGGTCGCTTTCGAAATGTGGCTCTCGCCAGGGCGCCGCGCATACTCGTCTGAAACATGTGCAAACACTTGACGGATGGAAGGCGTTGTTTCAAAATGTGGCTCTCGCCCGAACGCCGCGCACAGCCGTCTTGACATCTGCACGGGGCTCACGGACGAAGGAGAATCCCCTTTCAAAATGCGGCTCTTGTCATTGCGCCGCGCACAGTGGTTCGAAGAGCTTACATCCGTGACAAGGACTAGCTCGGTAAACGTCCCAGGATTCGCGTTGTGGCACGGTGTGGGTCTGTCAGGGCGCGACGCCCATGTTGATTCGCGTGGGTCCAGTCCCAACAACGGTGGTCAAGATTCTGGATCGTCAAAACGTAACGGTAACGGTCATTCCTGGCGCTGAAATCCCAAGAACAGCTTTCTGGCACAATTCAGGATTCTCAAACGGCTGTCTTCAAACGGAGCACTTCCCTCAGTGAAAATGAATCTCTGTCGGGGCATGAAGATGGAACTTGGAAGAAGGCTTACTGCAGATCGTTACTGGATCTTGGGTTTACCCCAGTCCTCCTCCTCCTCCTCGCTATCTTCGCCCAGCATGCTCCTCCTCCTTCTCCTCCTCCTTTCGGCAAAGGACAAGCCTCCCCTCAGTGAAAACGGCCTGGGACCGAAACGGACGGACCTGGACCCGCAAAAATGACGGCCGCGACGCCCTCCCGCGAACCGAAAACGGCCAATTCCTCAATCGACGGGTCAGGGTAGGAGGTCTGTCCACCCCCGATCTCTATCCTCCCACACCCGTTGCGCTCCCACTCCCGGTGTCCTCTCTCGGCGGAGGGGTATGGCGGCGGGCAGCGGTGCGAAAAACCACCTGGCCGAAGAACGGCTGGCGCGGGTCGGGCGGTGGCGGCTGCAACCCCAGGGGCGCGCCCGGCTTCCTCGACGCGGCCGCCTCTGGCAGCTCCGGCAGAGCCGCGCTCTCGCAAGGCGGGGGAGCCGCAAGATGGCGAGAGGATCGAGATCCACCAAAGGGGGGGGGGGCCCTGAGAGAGGGCATGAGAGGAAACACAACAACGGCATAAAGATAGACTTTGGCGCTCCGCGCGGATTTCTCGGATCTGGCCTGGACCCCCTCTCCCTGGCGCGCGGAGCGCGCCAGGGGCGGCGCCGGAAGCGCCGCTCGGGGGGGCCCAGCGCGGATCCAAGAAGTCCGCGCGCAGCGCCAAACAAATATGTTTACGGCGTTTGTTCTTCTTTTTCGAGGGCATGAATTTGATCCGTTGAAGCACCGAGCTGCCGCAAACCGATGCTTCCCGCATGCCCCGCCCATCGGCCACTCTCGGGGGCTGCCGGCGGCTGGGCGGCATCTGTATTGGGCGGTATCTCTGCAGAAGCCGATCGAACTCTCACACACACACACACACACACACACACACACACACACACACACACACACACACACGCACACACACGCCGGGGCACACACACCCTTTGCAGGATCCCGAGAGCCCCTGTACGCCGCGCGCTCACTGTCTGGAGGCGGAGCTCGGGGGTCTCTCCACTGCCCAAGGCCTTCAAACTACTTGTTGTTCCCAATCCTGGCGGTCTGCCCCCAGTCAGCTCGAAGAAGAGCCGATTTGGGCCCCCAGGACAATCAAAAACTAATCCACGGTAAAAACTGGAACGGGGAAAGATGTCGGACACAATAGGGTCGCGGATTGACAGAATCACATCGCCAGGTATCTGGGAATTCGCGGGGCGCCTCCAGGGGTGGCCCTTTGAAGCCCTTCAATTACTGCCAGCCGCATCCCCTGAGTCGACTTGAAGGGCTCACATAACCACCTCGGCTATAAAGGCGGTACAAGGCAAAACAAAGAAAACGCTTGCTCATTAGCGTTTGCCTCCCAGGGAACTCCTGGAGACCTTGTGGAGGCCCTCTGAGGTGCTTCAGGAGGCCGTCGGACGAGCAAAGAGGTCATCAGCACGTCCTGACGACCCCTCATGGCAAGCCCGTGAGGCGTGCTGAGGGATATAATGGCAGTCTGGATGAGGTCTGGTACCTTCGAGAGGGTACGAGGCCGCCGAGGGGGGGTCAAGGGGGGAACTCCAGGAGTGGAGCGAGACGGCCCGAGGCCCGCATCCACGCGCGGGCGTCTTCGGGGCTCCTCGGGTGGCCTGTTCGGAGAGCTCGGGAACGCAGTCGGGGTTCCGTACTTCCACCGTGGCCTGAGGAACCCTATAGGGCCTCTCCGTGGCTATGCGAGAACCGTGACTACCGAAGCCAACGCTTTCGCTCGCGTGAGTATATCAGAGTGAGGGTACCGAATGGCCTTACACCATCCCTGGGTGCGTGCCCGAAGTGGGCTTCTGCGGTGAGGATGTATCTTGATTATTGTTGTTGTTGATGTTGTTGTTTTTGTTGTTGTTGTTGATGCTGTTGTTGTTGTTGACTGCTTTGGATTCGTCTCCGCGGTGACAAACCCGCGACCCACCCGCGACCCACCCGAGACCCACCCGCGACCCGCTGGCGACCCACCCGCGACCTACCCACATCGCTTCGACTACAATTCGGTGCCTGCGGCGGACCCGTTACGTAACATGTGACACATCGGCGCGTGCGGCGGGCTTTTCCAAGAGCCTCGCAGACTACCGCCGACTCCGCCGCCGAGTAGAGGCCCCCACGGGCCCGCAAAGTAAGGATGGGCGACTTTCCCAACCTTGCATCCTTGCCACCTCTGTCCATCCTTGGCCACCGTTGTTGGCCGCGCCCCGCTCGAGAAGCTTCGAAATTGGCGCCCAAGGCCCTTGCATCCTTATCGCGCATCCTGAAAATTCGGGCCGACAGTATGTGATCGAAATCAGTTCGGGGAGGGTACCCTGATGAACTTCGTTCCTGTTGGATGTTCTTGGGTATCCTGGGGGCCGCCTTGGGCCCCTCAGGAAGCACTTTTCGGCCCCATTTGGGGCTCCCGTGTCCTGAGACCATATTGGGGCCCTCGTGGGGCCCGTCCTGGCGCTTGTTTACTCCCCGAGGCCCTCAAGGAGCGCTTGCTCATCAAAGAGCGGCGAGGCCAGTGCAACTGGCAAAAACATGTTGGATCCCTGCAGCCGTCAGCACATTTGAACGGTCTGGGCGTCCTGGTGTCTTCGTGTGGCCTCTCCAGGCCACCTTGGGGCCATATTGGCGAATAGTGGGTCGTCCTCGTCTCTTTGGCAATGCAATCAGGCGGCTGACGTGTGGAGGAACGCTCGGGAAGCCTTGGGAGCCCGGGGAGGCTCCTAAGAGCCCGGGCGAGGCTCCAGCTCCAGAAAGGCATGGGGGCATCGACATAGCTCCAGGTGGCCCTGGAGGGGGAGGCCCCAGGGACCGCGCGGCCTGGTTTCGTGCGCATGCGAAGTTGCACTGCAATGCCACAGCGCGCGCACTGCAATCCAGTACCAAAGCCCACGAACCCACTGCGAAATTAGAGTTGCTGCTCTTGTTCGGCCGAAAGCTGAAAACAGAAAAGACTGTACGCCTAAACGATGTGAGTCTCACTGATTTGACTTGAACTGAGGTGTCCCGTTCTGCTTTGAGATGATAGGTGCATTGGAATGCGCTGCCTTGATTTGCACCGCACTGCATTACCTTACGTATCTTGATCAAACGAGGCTCGAGTAGCACAGTTAGCTGGTGGTATCAGGGGGGAGGTACCCTCGAGGAACTCGTTGTGGGCATCCTCAAGGGCCTTACGGAGCCTGGCCGCGAGAGGCAAGCACTGACTGCCCTCCAGCACAGATTACGTAAGGACGCCTGATGCAATGCATAATCTGATCAGGAAGAGCACGACCCCTGGAAGGGCCCACCCAACCACTTATATTGCGATTGGCGAGAGCAACAACAGGCGAGCAGAGGTGCCGCTCAAAAAGTATGAGGAGCGCGCGAATGGGAGGGGAGAGGGAAAGCTCGTCGGTGCTCGGTACCCACCCGTCGACTTTCGGTGCTCTGGAAGCCATCTTGCCAACAGCCTGTTCTGTCGAATCGATGATGCCAAACTGGCATACGTCGACATGGCGAGAAAGTCAAAAGGATACAGGAGACGCCTGACACGAGGCTGCAGTAAATCCCAGCTTGTATTGCCTCAAGGCTCCACTGACGTGGAGCGCGCCTCCCAACAGCTGCTCGTCTGGGCATCAAAAGGATAGTTGTGCAGTCGGGGCCAGCTTGATGGAGCACGAAGTAAGCCAGGACACGATAGACGAGGATGTGCGGTGGCGGACTCAAGGGTAAACACTAGTGAGAAAGCAGAAGACGTTTTATACACACCGCGCTGCAACCCGTGCCACAACAGAGGCTAACCAAGATCATGTAAACGGTGAGCACAGCTGGTACACACTTGCGGTCGTCCTCTGCTGACATCCCGCTCCAATACCGAGAAGAGAAATGAAGAGACATCCCTGACCCCTTCCCCCCCCCCGCCCTTCCCCCACCTCCCTCCACTCCCGGCCCTCCATTCCGATCCCTCCTTCCGAACTATCCATCGGGGACCGTGGTTGGCGGTGGGATTGCGGCGGCCCCGCCCCCCTTGGCCACCTCGCGAGCTGCTCATGTGGTGCTGGCAAGAGCCTCGTTGGCTTTGCTTTGTCTGCTATGCCGGTCGGCTCACGGACATACCGTGAAAAACCCAAGCAGGTGCGAGAATCCGAAGGCTGGCCAGGCCACGCTCCTGGTCTAGCCAAGCTCGCCCAACAACCGAATAAACAGAACTTGACCGTATTTGAAAGCTGGGTTCAGGTTATGTTGCCTTCTCTTCTCGGTGTGCCGAGTACACTGAGTGTGAACCCATGAAAGTTGTCATAAGCCATGCCCGAGGGAATCTCCTCGGATCTCCTGCATGACGGAAGGAGCACCGAATCCTCCCTCAAAGCGTCCAGATAACTTAAGACCTCGACCCAACTCGAGCAACGACCCAACGAGTCCAACGAAGTCCCACCGCGTTCGAGTCGGGAACCACGGTGCGTTCCGAGGTAGACGCCCTCCCTCCCCCCATCGCCGCCCCCTCCATCCTTGCCTCCACCCCCAATCCCACCCATCCTCAACCCACGCTCCCTCCTGTTCCTATCGCATCCCTCCTCCCGTCCTTATCCTCACCCCACCTCCCTCATCCCACCTCCCGCCGAAGTCGAGCCCTCTCCAGGGGGAGAAGCAAGGGTGGACAGGAGCGGGGAGGGCGGCGGCGAGGGAGCGAGAGGAGCAGGGGCGAGGGGGGGGGCGAGGCGCGAGGGGAGCGAGGGATGGAGAGAGCAAGGGACGAGGATACGCCAAGGGACCAGCGTCACCCCATGCTGCAATAGAAACTCTCGTCCGAAGAACTCCCTTCCTCGCTGGTCCCTACAGGCATGCCTTCCGAGTGAAAGACCCGCTCCGAAAAGAACTGCCCTGGATCGAAGAAGTCAGAGAAGGAGAGGGAGAGAGAGAGCCCTCCATTTTGAAAGGGGGTCGGCCTACATTGGCGAGGTTGTTGCACAACGACTGGACACAAAGTCGGCAAGAATCTCAAGCTGGAACCGCGTCTTGAAAAGGATCCACCCTCCGCCGCTCTGCCAACTGGCCCACAAGTTTACACGCATGGAACGAACGTTCCAGAAAGTATCAAGCGGTAGAGCCCTTTGAAAACGCAGCCACCCTGTCTTGCTACGAATGTCAGAAAACTTGCCAGACGAATGTGCGTGGCGCTACTGCGAGAACAGCCTCCCCCCATGCATGTAATGGTGGGGGCACTTGTGAGACGAGTGTGCGCGTCGCTACGGCGAGAGTCACATTTGAAAACGACCATACTTACATCGTTGCAACTGTTGAAAGCTGTTCAGACGCATGTGCGCGGCACTGAAAAAGCCACAGTTTGA